CAGGAAAGCTGGAGGCTGAAATTTTCAAGGAATGTTCCCAGCGCATGTACAACTTAAAGTCATCGAACTCAGGCCTCAGGCATGCGTGGTTCTCAAGTACGGCCCTGCTAAATTTTTTGGCTGTAAAGTGGCTAACTCAGGAACCGGCAAAGCTGGAAGGCTGAAATTTTCAGAGAATGTTCCCAGCTCATGTACAACAAAAATTTATCAGATTCAGCCTTCAGGCATTCGTGGTTCTCACGGCCCCGCAAAATTTTTTGGAAAAATAGCTAATTTTGTAAGTAGGAAAGCTGGAAGCTGAAGTTTTAAAGGTATATTCCCAGGCCCCGTGAAAGTTAAACATATCAAATTCAGCTCCCAAATACGCATGGTTCTTATGCACGGACTCATGAAATTTTTTGGCAGGAAAATTGCTAACTCTAGAACCGGAGAAGTTGGAAAGTTGAAATTTTAGCGGAATATTCTCTGTCCAAGTACCACGTAGACAATAAATTTCCCGAACTTCGAGGATCTGTATGTCATAAATCCCAGTTACTAGGTTTCCGAGCGATCTCGTTAAAGCAAGAAATACTGCAAAAACGTATGTTCGCCAATGCGTCGCCAGTGATTTAATTTTAATATAGTCATCCACATATTAATAATCCATCCATTCTTGCTTTACAAAATTTTCAAGATATTACAAGTTTCGCAATGATAGCCGGTTGGTCTTAACAATGGTTTTATCAAACGAAACTAAAAACAATTCTAGCAAATTACCGTTTAGCCGTTCGCTGTCCCTGAGATCACCAGGTTTCAGGACGAAAACCGTGATCGGTTGCATGTTGCGCAGTGCATCCTCAAAAATATGCTGAAAGTCGTGAAGGTATGAGTCCGGAAGTGCCATCTTGTCGATGGAAATTTTAGCCTCCAGTTTCTGGATACCCAACCATGAAACGTAGTAGTAGGCTGCCATAACTGTTATAAGAAATATCCTGCAACGCATGACTTCATTAAGAAAAATGGTATTATTACTGGAAAAAGGGCTGATGCTTAGGCAGTGCTTCACCTGTCAGCACTTGGACAGCTTTCAAGGAATATGATTTTGCACACTGTATTTCAGTACAAACTCGAACGTAGCGGTTACCTGGCCCAACATTTTGTAATTACAGAGGACCATGATTCAACCAACCACATTTGAAAATCATGAATTTTTTCTGCCAGTCGATTTTGCGCCTAAAAAAAAGAATGTACCGTATTTTGGCTTGATACAGAACTATTAAAAAAAGACTCACCATGTGAGATAATTGAAACGAAGAAACGAAAAATGAAATGAAGAAGGGCATACGTCTGGATTGGCTTTCCAGCAGCACAACAGCGACTGGTAGTTGGCTTGCTCTCGACGACCGCTCAAGGCCAAAACAGCAGTGAATAAAATCAACTGGAATAAATAACAGACAATGATGGCGAAACATGAATAGATGGAAAATGTGCGTACAGCTGGCGTCGACGAAAGAACACCGATCCCAAACGATAAAGCATTGGTCAGTGAGCTGTAAAACGAGACATTCATGAACGAAGAAACAGTACTTCACTGAATGCTTGCGTATTCAAATTCCCACATTAAATCATCCCGGCTTTGTTTGTCCCGACGATTGTTGGATGTGCTAGCGAAGACAGAGGTCACGAAACTTCCTCTTCACAAAAGAGAAAATTTTGAGCGTACTTTTGCAAAACGACAACCAAAAGCAGTAAGGAATAAACACTGTTTGAGCTGACATCTCTAAGAAAAAGCAGTAGAACTACTTTTTTGTAGAAATTATCTTTTCGATCCTGAGAACCTCCGCCAGACTTCAGCAAGGTTGTAAAGGCTTGGTGTAGCCTTTCTTGCAAATTTTAGTGAGATTTGCAGATTGTTTTTTGTCGATTTGATTTTTTTAATGCGTTTTTGCTGCGCAGCGCTTCAGCAGCTACAGCGCTAAAGCGCTGTTTTTGCTGGCAATAGCGCTGCTGCACTCAGCAAAAACGCGTATTGCCGAGAGGCTGTCTATGTGTGTGTGTGTGTGTGTGTGTGTGTGTGTGTGTGTGTGTGT